CACATGCTGGATCGTTTCGTACTTATATACCTCGACGACATTCTGGTTTACAGTTCGAGTCTGGACGAGCATGTGGAACACCTGCGCACCGTTTTGGAGCGGCTACGACAGACCAAGTACAAAGCAAACCGCGACAAGTGCGAGTTCGCACAGCAGGAGCTGGAGTACTTGGGACACTATGTGACGCCGCAAGGCATCCGTCCGCTTGCGGACAAGATCGAGGCCATCCGCGTATGGCCCGAGCCCACCAACACCATGGACATTCATTCATTCATGGGGTTGGCAGGCTATTATCAGCGTTTCATCACCGGATACTCAAGGATTGCCGCACCTCTGACGAGACTACAATCGCCAAAGGTGCCATTCGTATTCGATGACGACGCGCGCCAGGCTTTCCAAGCACTCAAGACGGCCATGCTCATGGCACCCGTCCTTAGCATCTACGACCCCACTCTACCTACGAGAGTGATGACTGACGCTTCCGGTTACGGCATTGGGGCAGTCTTGGAGCAGCACGACGGCGAGGATTGGCACCCTGTGGAGTATTTCAGCCACAAAGTGCCTCCCATCAATTCTCTGGATGATGCAAGGAAGGAGCTGCTTGCGTTCGTCATGGCTCTCAAGCGATGGCGACACTTCCTTCTTGGGCGTCGTAGGTTCACATGGGTCACGGACAATAACCCATTGACCTACTACAAGACGCAGGACACGGTSAGCAGCACGATTGGACGGTGGATGTACTTCATCGACCAGTTTGACTTCACACCGAAACACGTTGACGACCTCTCCAATCGCGCAGCAGATGCACTTTCGCGATGACCTGATCTTTGCGCTATGACGCATCACGCCTTCGCGTTCGACGAGGACCTTCAGCGACACTTCATCAGGGGCTATAACTCTAACCCAGAGTTTGCTATGTTGTATGCGCAGCTATCTTTGGATCACCCGCCGGCCAGCCACTATCGCATTGCCGACGGGTACTTGCTCCTCCACTCGAGAGGCAAGGACTTACTGTGTGTCCCACGCGACCGCCGTCTTCGGACTCGCCTTCTCGGCGAGTATCATGATTCGCGACTCGCCGGCTATTTCGGAGTCAATCACACGATTGCACGGCTTCGACAACGATTCCGATGGCCCGACCTCATTTCCGATGTCATGMGGTATTGCGATTCTTGCGAAGTTTGYCGAYGCAGCAAACCCCGCAACCGCAATCCCTATGGCGAGTTACGCCCGATGCCTATCCCCCGGGAACCCGGTATCTCCATTGCTATGGATGTCACCGGTCCGTTTCCTCGAGACCGGCTTGGGCACGACGGCATCCTCAGGGTTGTGGACCGATTGAGCAAGTATGCACGTTTTCTTCCTTGCAAGTATTACTCCACGGCTCCCGAGCTGGCACGCCTCTTGCACACCGGTTGGATTTGTGGCCACGGCGTACCCGAGGACATAGTCAGCGACCGCGACACTCGTTTCATGTCGACTTTTTGGACCTCTCTCATGCAGGAATCCAGCACGAGATGAAACCCAGTTCGGCTCGGCATCCACAGACAGACGGGCAAACGGAGCGGGCACATCAGACCGCTCAAATGATGCTTCGTACGCTCATCCGTCCGGACCAGAAGGATTGGGTTGACCGCCTCCCCGACATCGAGTTCGCCTACAACACTTCAGTGCACCCGGCGATCGGTGTGACTCCATTCGAGTTGCACCACGGTGGACGGAAAGGCCGTATCTTCGTTGATCTTCTCCTCCCTCGACCAGCCGACATTGACGCCGCTTGCTCTCCCGCTTCCGTCCGGAAGTACAGGGAATTGCTGGCTCAAGCCCGTACATAGATGCAAAAGGCTCAAGTCCGCATGCAGCAGCAAGCCAACAGGCGCCGCGTACCATGTCCCATCCGCGCCGGAGATCGAGTTTGGGTCTCCTCGGAAGAGTTTGCATTGGAACAGGATGTCTCACGCAAACTACTCCCTAAGTGGTTTGGACCATGGACAGTGACATCAGCTGCAGGCGATGAGCCCGATGGCCCTTCATTTGTGATCGACATTCCTGAGCATCTGACGGTCCATCCAGTCTTTCATGCGTCAAAGCTGGCAACATATACACCAGCTAAGAGCGATGACTTCCCGGGCCGACGATCGCAGGACCCTCCTTCAATGGATGGTCATCAGGAGGTTGACCGCGTCATCTCAGATCGCAAGTATGGCAGCAAACCGCGCCAGTACGAAGTTACATTCAGAGCATGCGATCCCGACGACACTCGGTGGATTTCAGGAGCAGATTTGAAAGCGTCTGCACCGCTGATCTACGCTCACTACGAGCGACAGAGGTTAGCCAAGGGACCTCCACGACCTGCCCCTCCCACCCGGACTGTGGTCCCTCCCTCAGAYAGACAGCTTCGCCCTCGTAGGTAAGCTCGGTCTTTCAAGGAGGGGGGGGTGTGGCATACTGTGCAGCCACACGGGCCCTGCAGGGCCCGTCCCGGACCTCCAGCCTGTTTCCCTACAGGGAAACTTCCAGGCTCTTGCCTGGAAGCTTCCTTCTGACAGGGCCTACAGGCCCCAACCTGTTTCCCTATAGGGAAACTTCCAGGCTCTTGCCTGGAAGCTTCCTTCTGACAGGGCCTACAGGCGTCAGCCTGTTTTCCTACAGGGAAACTTCCAGGCTCTTGCCTGGAAGCTTCCTTCTGACAGGGCCTACAGGCCCCAGCTTGTTTCCCTACAGGGAAACTTCAGGGAACTTCCAGGCTCTTGCCTGGAAGCTTCCGCAGGGTCTAGGCCAGGGAGGCATTGGCACGGCCAGCCTCCTGCACGGGCCAGCACTATAAAGGACTGGCCCGCCCTGCAGGAAAAGGTCAGAAGGCAGAGGTAGTCTTCAGGATTCGGCCGCAGCACTCAGGAGGAGCGCTGCAGTAGTCTTCAGCGCTAGGCAGTAGTGGTAGCGCTAGCTGTAGCCTTCGGCGCTGGGCGCCATAGCTGTAGCTGTAGTCTTCAGCGCTGGGCGTTGGTAGGTAGTAGATCGCAGAGTGGGAGACAGACTGGCGGAGGCCAGTGTTACTTACCTGTGGCGCCATCGCTCCAGCTCCATCTTCGCGGTACCTGCATCAAGGCGCCAACTTCACAGGTTAGTACTGGACACAGAGAGAGAGAGAGTTCTTCTTCTTCCTCTTCTAAGTCCACCTTCTCTTCTCACCCTCTCGCCACCTGACTTCTTCGACTACGACAGAGAGAGACAGAGTTGTGACTAGAGACTTGACGACATTGGATCCAGACTTGACATCTGGGATTCCGACAGTTCGACGAGGGACTATTTGGGCTTGTGCCGAAGACTTGGTGTTGACGACATTCCCATCTTTCCCCTCCTCTTCGTCTATCCCCTTCTCGTCTGTGCATGTTCTGGGCTGGCGCTGTCTTCTTATGTGAAGTGCCAGACCCATTCACACTATGAAACGATGATGATGATGTATATTCAGGGCTGCATTACAACATTGATTGTTCGGATCACTGGTATCTAAGTCTTCCGTTGTGCTATCTTATACTTTGTATTGAAAGGTCGGTTCTTGTTCTGGTCTGCGCCTATACGGTATGCAACATAGAGTCACTATGGAGAATCAAGTTGTAGAGAATAGAATGCGAAGTCTGATTTGTGGGTATCAGTATCAAGAAACTGAAGAATAGAAAAAAACAGAATACGAAGTATTTCGATTTTCAAAATAGGGAAACAATTTCCAAATTAAGAGTTAGACATATGTGATGACTTTTGGATTTGGGTATCCAAAGGGATTTTTGAATCTGATTTCCAAACCACGGTTTGAGAATCGTGGAATAATCCAGTTAGGGTGATGGATTTAGTTAGGAGATGTAATTAGGAAAACACACTCGAATTTATGGTTGATATGTGATTGATATCAGGGGTAGGAAATCAGAGCACAAATTTCATACGTATTGAAATTAAATTCCAATTTCCGAAATCAAGAATAAGGAGTGATTCAGAAAATGGTTACGAGGATCAAATTCAAAAACTTATACAGAAGATAAAACAAGGATTTTGCATGCAACCACAATTAGGCATCTGAGGCACGAACTAGAGAAATCAGGGGAGGGAGGGTAAGGAGAAAGCCGTGAGGGAACGTTCCTCTCCCCATGGATAGGATTCTAGTACTACATGCGACCCTTAGCGATGAAGGCTGTGTGTCTCAACCCACAAACCATGAATACGAAGTCCAGCATGAACGATAAGATACTGCATGCTGCTCTTCTTCATTCCTTTCGCTGCCTATCTCCTTCAACAGCCCTCCACAATCCTCATTTTCCTCTTATCACAAGATGTTCTATCATATCGTCATGAAGAATCCAGAGGTCCCATGTAGAACACACTACAAAACGATACTGTTTCACTTGAGTAACTGTGCGACGCGGAACTTGAGGACTACCATATCGAAAAAGCTTCCTCAACCCCCTCCTCAACCCTCCTTCCTACACCCGAACCCAACCCCACCACCCTCGAGAGAGAGACACCAGACTCTCCCCATCTGCTAGCCACGAAGGCAGCAACTGCCCCTCACTCCAAGATGTCAACGCCAGCAGCGCGAAGGCCCCTATGGCCATCCATAACGAAACGAAGCAATGGATGGTATGGCCACACCTCGCCGAACCCGCCGACGAGTCACCATAGGGAGTTCAGGTCTTCGGAAGAAACGCCTGTCAGCAGCATAAAGCAGCAGGTTGAAGAGGGGGGAGGAAAACCGAATTACCCCGCCGCAATCCTCGCGCTCCACCATCACCGCCTTCCTTACGGCTCGCTTGCTCCGCCTCACGACCTTCGGCATACCCGTTCTCTGCTGGGACGGCAGCCACACGGCCTCCAACGCTCCTCCAACGCGCTGCGGTGTCGCCGCCAGGTTCTTTCGCTGGGCCGGCAGCGCTGCGCCCCCGGTAGCACAGCGCCGCCGGCCGCAACGGTCAGCCATCTCAGGGATCCAGCCAGATGCTACTGAGTAGTCGAACCCTTCAATTATTATTATTATTACAACGGTCAGCCGTCTCAGGGATCCAGCCAGATGCTACTGAGTAGTTGAACCCTTCAATTATTCATATACCCTATTACCGGATGGCTGAAGTTTATATAACCAACTACCGCTCAAATGGGATGCTGGGCCCGGTTCCCAGCACGTGTTAAAAAAAAAAAAAAAAAAAAAAGAAATGGACCGGCCAAATTATTCATATACCTTACTACCGGATGGCTGAAATTATGCTCATACCCAGCAGCCGCTGGGCCAGAACAGCCCACGTGGTGGGCATGAGCATCCAAGGCTCATCCCTGGCTGTGCAGTAACCCATGTCTGCACCAGGCTGGGCCCTCGAAACGGAGCCCAGACGACGCAGGCCTGCGCCAGGCAGTGTGACCACTCATTGCCCTTGGGAAGTCAAAAGTCTGAGTCAACTGTCAGGTCAAAGGTACCCGCCCAGGCCCTTGGTTGGATGCACTCACTTGTTTTGCGCAGGTACCCAGACAGCATCAAGGCCAGAAGGAATTCAGTTTCAGGCCAATCTGGGCCGTTTTTTGCATTGAGATCTGGACGGCTGAGGGATGCAGCATCCGGGGTCCAGACCCCACGTCAACGCTACATAAGCGCTGACTTCTTGACTTTGACATTCATTCAGTCTTGCGTCAATACTGACTTCACGCGTTGACGACAACAACACTGGCTCGACGCTGCGACGCTGGTGAGACGCTGGCTTTGTGCTGGCACTTGGGTGATTACGGTGACGCGATGCTGGCTTAGCATGGTGGCTGACTTGCTATTGTCTTCTGGGCATGCTGACGTGGCAGCTGCCACGCATTGCTGCTGACATGGCTGCTGCCACGTGTACTGTTGCTGACGTGACTCATCGTCACTCAGGAGGAGGTCATGACTGTGGGGTAATCGTGGACACATACCTGGTCATCTTGAGGTCGACATTGCTCCAGTGCGCTGATGAGGACTGATTGACATGCCATGTGGCACATTGTAGTAGAACTTCAGATGTACGTTCAGACTATTGATTATTTGAGGTGGTGATCGAGGAGGAAGCCAGAAGCAGAAGTGGGCAT